ACCTCAACTCTGTGTGTTTTCCTCTGTCACTTTCAACCTAGTATTTAGAAACAGGGTCTCTCACTGAACTTGGAGCTTGCCGTTTTACCTAGACTGGCCGGCTGGCAGGGGCTGGGGCCTGTCTCCTCCATCTCCCAGCACTGGAGTCACGTCAGGGTCTGCCCTTCCTGGTGTTTTACACAGGTGCTGAGGGTCAAAACTCAGCTCTTGATGTGTGGACTGCCAGTACTTTCTTTACCCACCAGCCTGTCTTTCTTGTTTTAACAAGTGCCTTTCTTTGGTGAGAGAATTTGTTTGAGCTATAATTTTCTTGTTTTAAGCATCGGGGGTTTTCTTAAGAATATTCTGTAGCTGTGGTGTGGTGTAGGAATTAGTATGTTGCAAAGCTGCCAGGTGATGGGTGGTTTATGCCTGCTTATTGGTCACTCGGCTCCCTGTCCCCAAAGCTTATTCTTATAATGGGCCCTTTGTGCACGACATTTGTCTTCTGAATCATAAGAAGTCTTTTGTAAAGTCGATATATGGTTTGTTTTTGAGGATGTGTGATGAACTCTTGGGACTTGAAAAAAAGAGTAAAAATGGAGTTGGGAGGTGGTGGCTGGAGTGTGTGCTGCTCTTCCAGAGGACCTCAGGCAGCTCCATATAGAGCCCCAGCAGCAGGGAGGGGTCACCCTCTTCTGGCTTTTAAGAGAATATATGGTCTTGTGCACGTACCTGCACAGATACATACACACAAAAGTGAAAAAAATAAAAAGTATTTTTGCTGCTTTTTTATTTAATTTTTGTCTAGAGACAGGGTTTCTCTGTGTAGTCCTAGCTGTCCCGGAACTCACTGTCTAGACCAGGCTGGCTCACAGAGATCCATTTGCCTGGCCTGGGATTAAAGGCATGTGCCACCACCACCTGGCCAAATGGGACATCCTCCTCCTCCTCCTCCTCCTCTTTTTCTTCCTTTCTTTCTTTTTGAGATTTTTAAATTTCAATTTCTCCTCCCCAGGGAGGGTGAGGCCTTCCATGGGGGATCTTCAAAGTCTTTCATATCATTTGGCGCAGGGTCTAGACCCTCCTCTGTGTATCTAGGCTGAGAGAGTATTCCTCTATGTGAAATGGGCTCCCAAAGTCCATTCCTATACTAGGGATAAATACTGATCCACTACCAGAGGCCCCATAGATTTCCCAGGCCTCTTAACTGACACTCATGTTCAGGTGGTCTGGATGAGTCCTATGCTGGTTTCCCAGCTATCAGTCTGGGGTCCATGAGCTCCCCCTTGTTTAGGTCAGCTGTTTCTGTGGGTTTCTCCAACCTTTGCTCATCACTCCTCCCTCTCTGTAACAGGATTCCAGGAGTTAGGCTCAGTGTTTAGCTGTGAATCTCTGCTTCTGCTTCCATCAGCTACTGGAGGAAGTTCTAGGATGGCATCTAAGGTAGACATCAATCTCATTATCGGACAAAAGCATTTAAGGCAGCCTCTCAATTATTGCTTAGATTGTTAGTTGGGTTCAACCTGGTAGATCTCTGGGCATTTCCCTAGAGTCAGAATTCTCTTTAAACCTATAATGGCTCCCTCTATTATATTATGGTGGCTATTTTCTTGCTCTCCTCTATTCTTCCCCTGACTCAATCATTCTTATGGTACAGTTTGACCATGTCAGTTTCTTACAAGTGTGGCTCCTCTGTTTTGCTAAGATATGCAGGCTAAGTTGGTAAGTAACCATGTATTTGAAGCCAGACAATCCAAAGGCATTTAGTTTACTCCCCTGGTCACTGTACTGTGTCCTGTGCAGTCACTGTAAATTTGCATATGGTAATGAGCTCAGCTGGAGAAGGGTGAAGGCAGGTTTATTTTCTGCCTTGGGATTTAGAGAAGTTTCAGATGAGTGGTGCAGGATGACCTCTGTAGCCAGACGACAAAGGATGGTGAGATCCTTTCCCTAAATGCATGGATCTGGACTCCTAAAACAAGTCTGTGTAGAACGCAGTGAGATTCATTTGTTTAAATGAGAATGGTCTGGGGCTCCAGGCTCCTTTCTCTGTAGCTTCTCCCTGCCTCTGTCTGCATCCTGTCACTTGCTGTGGAGTTTTACCCTGGGATCCCTTATACTCTCAGTCCTGTAATGGAGGCTGGTTGTCATCACCTCTCGTGGCCAGACAAGTAGAAACTCTTTTTTTTTCAGAGTCCACGTTTCTAGAGAAAAGATCTGATTGGCTAACTGTGGGTCATGTGCACTAATTCTGGCTGATGATCTGTGGCCAGTGACATTGTCATAACACAGAAACCAGGTGAACAGAAGAGAAGGGAGCCGGGAAAACACACCTGTATTCAAATATTCTCAGCACAGCATCAAATAGAGAATTTGCTCAAAATAAAGCAATTTTTATTAAGACTATTTGTTACGATAAATCTTTCTGCCAAAAGCCACCGAGCCCCACCGCCACGTGTAAGCTTTTCGCCAGCCGCCCGCCAAGTTAGGGCCCAAATGAATACACAGAAACTTGTATTAGGTACAATGCTGCTTGGCCAATGACTAGGATTCTCATCTGTTAGCTCAGTCTTAATTATCATAAACCTATATATTTTATAAGACTTATCTTATTGGATGCCTTGTTGGCGTCCCTCCTGGCCGGTGGATCACATCGTGCAGCTGGAGCAGGAGCAGAGGGGAAAAGAGGGCCTTCCTGTGTCTCCTTCGCTTAAATATGAGTCTCCTTGCTATGTCACTTCCTGCCTGGATCAGCACTTCTCTACTACATTTCCCAGAATCCTCATTGACTCATAGTCCTAACTTGCTGTTTCATTGGCCAAACAGTATTTTATCCAATAATCAATAAGATAAACATACACAGTACATTCCCCATCAGGCCACATACTGCCCCTGCTCAGGACTGGTAACCCCCTTGCTCCTGCACATAGGGGACAACCCTGGGGAATTGGATCTCTTTTTTTGTACTCTGAGTTCTGGAGATGAACCACAAAGGCCAGAAGAGGATATCCAATCCCCTGCAGTTGGGATTCAAGTCCTCAGGTTTAAGCACTTTTAACCACTAAGTTAATTTCTACCCCCCCTCCCCCCGCATTGTATTTCTTAATATTTATAGCCAGTACTTCCACTTGCTGCTGCTGTAATTCAGGGATGAGGCCTCACTTAAAGCAGTAAACTTAATATTAAAGCATGTGTGTAATTCATTTATTGATTGAATTTACTTGTTGCATCCTATTGTGGATGTTAATGTGTATGTAAGACAAAAAATACACTTAATTCATTTATTGTTTAGAAATCCAAGATACTCTTTGACTGCTGATAATAAAATAACTACTTTCCTATTTTATTTTTAGCTAAACAAAGAAAATAAAACACTGAAAAGAATCAGCATGTTATACATGGCCAAACTGGGACCAGATGTAATAACGGAAGAGATAAACATTGACGACGATCCCACCACGGACCCGGATGGTGCAGTGGAGACCTGTGTGTCAGTTCAGTGTCAGGAGCAAATCAAAGGTGAGATCCCACTCTTGCGGCTGTGTATGGCATCTGTCAGGGCAGGGCAAAACACCTCTGTGAGCACTTCATAATCTCATGAGGAATTTTGAAAACACATGGGCCTTGGGAGCTGGTTCAGTGGGTAAGAGAACTTGCTGAGCAAGCATAAGGACCTGAGTTCAAATTCCCAGCAGCCACACAAAAGCCTACATGGATGTACATGCCTGTAATACCAGAACTGGGGAGGAGAGGGGAAAGGGTAGCCACAGGAAGATATCTGAGGCTTGCTAGACACTAGTCTAGTTATCACACCAGCAAGCTCCATGCTTAACCCAAGACCCTGTCTCAGTGATAAGGCACAGAATGACAAAGTAGGACAACTGGCTTCCTCCTTGGGCTTTTATACATGAGTGTGTAGGCACGTGTGCCCATACACATGAGCACACATACACCACATACATACACTGAAAAGTTCTGGTTCAATAACGCGTATGGCTCGGTACATGTTCAAAACTCAGACTTATTATTTTCCTGGGAGATAAAAATCCCAGATGGAAGTGTAAGGAGGAAAGGACTCCCTGACTTCACTGGGTTCCTCAGCCCTTATGTTAAGCCAAAATAGCGGGTTCTGGTTAGCAGGGAGAGGTGGTGTCAAGGCCTCCCTCTGTCCATTGTTCTCCCTTCTGAGTCTTGAACAATATGGTTTCATGTTCTTCCTTCTGGAATTAGTCAGCTGGTGGAGAGAGTGACTTACAGCTGAGTTTGTGCAAAAAAAAAATTAATGCAACTTACAAATAATGATGTAATGGGTTTCTTATTGCCCTTGGAGAAGGGTAAGAGTTGAAAAGCTATTTAAAAAACAGAACTGGCAGAGCAGTGGGCCCGAGCAGAAGCTTAAGAAACCTGTGTCAATCAGTGGAGTACTTGTAGACACGGCAGTAACCCTTTGTGGTTATAGCTGCTAATATGTTTCATCCTTGTAACATAACTTTCATTAACTCAGAATAATAAGTGGCGAAACAGAACACCTACAGCTCTGGGGAGGAAAGTGCCTGTTTATATTTTCAAGTCAAGAGTTCTGTCTTCTCAAACCCTGAATCTCCAGGTTAACTATGCAGCTGTCTGTTTATGCTGTGGATCACTGACCCCTTTGCAGGTCAAATGACCCTTTCACGGGGGTTGCCTAAGACCATTAGAGAATAGATACGATTCATAACAGTTGCAAAATTACAGTTATGAAGAAGCAGTGAAAATAATTTCCTGGTTGCGGGTCACCACAGCATGAAGAACTGTATTAAGGGCCACAGCATTAGGAAGGTCGAGAACCACTGGGTTACATTAATTTATGCTAAGAGCCTGTGGCCACTGAGAAACAGAAGAGAATTTGATACAATTTGTCTCTGCTGAAAGCCTGTAAAACTTTTTTCAAAAAAACGTTTAAAATACTAGATAGTATTTTAGAGTGTGTGTTTTTGTTAGATTGCAAAGAAAACTCATTTTGGTCCCTTTAACATAGTGAAATTATTGAGACTGCCCTGTGTAAGTTACTGTGTGGCTGGGGTGGGCTTCCATGTGGCATTTCCATTGTCCTTTGGTTTTTCTTTCCCTTTAATTAATTGTCAGTTAACCTTGACTACAAACTGCATTTTTTCAGTTCTTTTGGCCAGATCCATAGCTTCCTTTAAAAAGAAATTTATTTCACGTGCAGCCATTATGAAAATCAATACAGAGGTTTCCCAAAATGGAAACTAAAAAGTAAAAGATAACTTCCAGGTGACCCAGTTATGCACAACCCAAGGGGCGCTGCACACATTACAGAGACTTGCATATCTATGTCTACTGCCTCTGTATTCACAAATGGAATTAGTTGTCCATCAACAGATGAATAGATAAGGACAATGTGGTACATATACACAGGGGATTTTATTCAGCTGTAAAGGAAAATGAAATTATTGGCTGGAAATACGGCTTTGGGGTAAAGTGCTTGCTGTGCAAGGGTGATGGCTTGAGTTTGGATCTCCAAACCCATGTAAAGATGGACAGGGTTAGCGTGTATCTGTAATCCCAGCATTCCCTCCAAGCCTATGTCAAGATGGACAGGGTAGCCTGTATCTATAATCCCAGCATTCCCTCCAAGTCTATGTTAAGATGGACAGGGTAGCCTGTATCTGTAATCCCAGCATTCCTGGTACTGAGAGTCAGAGACAGGTGAGTCCCCAGAAGCTCATGGGCCAACTAGCCTGGCCTACTCTTGGGTGAACCACAGCCAACTGTTGCTGGAGGTTTCTTTCCCACCAGATCCCACAGCTCCTTCTCAGCACCAAATAAACACAATTAAAGTGTTGGCCATTAGCTAGGGCTTCCTATTGACTAGCTCTGTCTTAATTAATCAACCCATTTCTAGAAATCCATGTATTTCCATGTGGTCTTGTTACTCCTTTGGCGGCTACATGTCATCTCTCAAGGTCTCTCTCCACCTACCTTTCCCAGAATTCTCCTTGTCTCCTAGCCCCGCCTATCTTCCTGCCTCTATTGGCCAAACAGTGTTTCATTCATCAACCAATAAGAGAAACATATACAGAAGGAATCCCCCATCAGCCATCCTTGGTTCAAACATGTTGGAAGGTGCAAACGTACACCCTGAGTTGTATCTGATTTCTACATGTGTATACTTGCAGTCACATACATGAACATGCACACACATGTACATGCAACAATAGACAGGAAAATGAAATTATGGATTTTAGGAAAAAGAATGGAACTGGAAATATTACTTTCAGTGATGTAATCAAGTCTCAAAAAGGAAAAATACCATGTGTTCTGTCTCATTTGTAGATCCTAGCATCTTGTTTTATCTTTATGTGGGGGCATGGAGAATCCATGAAAACAAAAGATGGATGAAAATGCCATAATGAAGCCTGTTCCTTTGCTAATTAAAATAAAATAAAGCTTATTTTAAATTCCCTTCCTTTAAAATTACAGAACTCCGAGATCAAATTGTGTCTGTCCAAGAAGAAAAGAAGGTGCTAGCCATTGAACTGGAAAATATCAAGAGCAAACTCGTAGAGGTGATGGAGGAGGTGGGTACCTCAGGCCTGAGAGGCCAAGCCCTTGGCTTTTAAACTTACAGCAGGTTTGGGGCTGACTGAGTTACAAACTTGCTGCTAAAAGCTAACCTGAGCTAGGCAGTGGTGGTGCACACCATTAATCCCAGCACTGGGGAGGCAGAGGCAGGAGGATCTTTGTTTGTTTCTGACCAGCCTGGTCTACAGAGTGAGTTCCAGGACAGTCAAAGCTACACAGAGAAACCCTGTCTCAAAACAAAACAAACAAAAAGCTCACTTGATACTTGATACTACTACCATGTCCCTCCCCCGCCCTGCCCCTTTCAGTCATTCATAAAAAGTACAGAAGACAAGACCAGGAACATGCATCACTCCCCAGCTTAGCCAGTCAGATGTGAGGCAGCCCTGGTGGGGGGGGGGGGGGTACACATTGTCACCTACTTTGTCTGATAGGAGGCAAGTCTGTAAGAATGGTGACTCCCATTTCAGGTCACATCCTCTGTTGCCCCAGTGAAGGAAGAGTTCAGTGGACAGCCTGCTTAGTGGGGGATGGGCCGCTGCTGTGTGTATGTTCCTCAGAACAGAAAGGACAGGTGACAGAGAGGTTCAAGGGGTGATTTGGGAGAACATTCTTTATCTTGCCCTGCCTGTGAGCATGGGGCTGCTCAGTTATCTTTTATTTGTAGCAAGGCTTCAAGGATGTGTCTTCATAACCCTTATTGAACTGGTGTCCATGGGTCTCAGAGCCTGAAGTTCAGAGTTTCCCAACCAGTGTCTGCCAGCATTGGGGCAGCCCCAAGTGTCTCGAGTGGCTCATCAGTGAGCAGTCTTACCTGCCCGCTCCCTTCCCCGAGTACATTGTCAATTCCTTGAGGACTGTCACACACAAAGTTTGGGCAGCCATGCCTTCCAGCCTCCTTACCCTACTGTTCTTGCTTTGTTTCACCCAAACATGGTAATAATGGGAGGGGCAATCTTAGGAGGGATTTCCCTGTTGGACCAAAACAAAAAATGAGATTTATATGAAGAGAAGCCAGTTGCTGAGCTCTCTGGAGGTGCTGATTGATGGACCAGCGGCTGTGCTCAGGGCTTGTACTGTAGTTTGCTTCTTGAGTGTGACTACAGGAGAGGAGACCCGCACACATTGTTACCGTTTGCCCAGCCTCTTAGAGGTGCAGCTAGGAGACAGTTGGGGTTGTTTTCTTTGTCACACTGTTTCGAACATCTAGAAAGAATGGAGCAGAGGACAGTGGTCTTGCACACATCTGCTCAGCTTACCTCGCAGCTGGCCAACACAGTCATGGCAGAATGCGGGGACCACCCTGCTGCTGCCCCTTCACTCCGTGCCCGGCTCCCTAAGCAGCTGTTGTTCTGAAGGTGGTGTTTATCATTCCAGTGTGTGTCCTTACCTGCTTAGAGGAGTTCAGGGCGTTCTGAGAGTTTTTAGAATCTGTAAGTATAACCTGTCTTTTACAGTTCAGCACAATGCATTTGAGATGGATCCATCTGGATCTGAGTAGCTTTGCATTAAAAACAAACAAACAGAACAGAACAAAACAAAACTGCTCTCTGGTATCCTTTCCTATTAATTGGTGTTTAAAGTTGTTTCAGAAACTTAAGTTTGGGAGAGAATATCAGAGATATATCCTTTATTAAGCCAAAAGTCATCCAAGTTTAAATTTATCTTTTTAAAAATATTTAATATGTGCTTCCTTTAAACATAAAATTGAAGTTCAAACTTAAACCTGAAGTTGAGTACTTGCTGACCTGTTAAATGATAGGTGTGTTTTGTGGGTGGTCACTGCTTGGGTTTTTGCATTGAAAATATCAGTGGGTGATGCTGAGTGGCTAGTATACTATCCTGTGTGGGAGGCTCCCCCCCCATGTTGAATATGTAAATGAGCTGTGCTCAGGGGTGCCTTGAAGTTCCATAGAACTTTATTCAATGCTCTTGGTGGAGGAGCTGATAGGCCTTGCCACTTAACAACAGAACTTTATATTGAAACTCAAACAGCTATTTGAGGGTTTCTTGTTGCCATATGTCTTATTTACAGTTTTGGGTGTTTTTTTCTTCTCCACATCTTACATTTGTAGGTAAATAAAGTTAAGCAAGAAAAAGCTGTTTTAAATTCAGAAGTTCTTGAGCAGAGGAAAGTCTTAGAAAAATGCAACAGAGGTATGTCTTTTCAGTCTTAATTTTCCCCAATGTATTGTGCTTACATATATCTGGTACGCTTCTTTACACCTGTGCCTAGAGCTGATGTTTTTCCTAGGCTGTGTTTTGCTCAGCAGTGACTCTCTTGTGTCTATTAGTTCATCACTGAGGACATTTAAAAGGGATTTCTACCCAGACTTGAGGGCATGAAACATTAATCCCAGCACTTGGGAGGTAGAATCAGGTGGATCTCTTGTGAGTTTGAGACCAGCCTGATCTACATAGTGAATTTCAGGCCAGCCAGGGCTACCCGGTGAGACCCTATCCCCTTACCCCCAAACTGGGGTATTGGGATGTTCATGTAATCCTAGCACTGGGGAAATAAGAGACGGAGGGTCCCTGAATAAGCCTAGGTGAGTCAATGTGCATCAGATTCAATGAGAGACCCTTTCTCAAAAATGATAGGTAGGTAGGTACGTAGATAGATAGATAGATAGATAGATAGATAGATAGGTAGATAGATAGATCGATAGATAGATAGATATAGCAATTGAGAAAAATACCCAAAGTTGACCCCCATATACATACACAAAAGTGCATGCTCAAGCACACACACTTGAAGTACACATACCACACACACTGCACTAAAAAATTAAATAAAATCTATTTCCCTTGAGGTACCTGGAACTAACTAACTCATTTTCAAACTGCAAACCTATATACTTTGTCCTGTGTGTATTGTGGGATCATAACCATTTTTGCTTACCCCCATTTATAGGATTGATGAGCTAGTTAGTAAATCTGAATCTAGGAGAAATTCAGAAAGCTGCATAAACATGAAAACATTTTAAATTAGAGGGTATAGAACATTGGCCAGTGGGAAAATGAGCATCAATATCAATACACCACTAAGTTATGGTAACACACACTTTAATCCCAGCACCCAGCACCGTGGAGGCAGAGACAGGTGGATCTCTGTGAGTTTGAGGCCAGACAAGGATACATATTGAGACTTTGTTTGAGAAAAGATTGTCCTGCCAAGTGTCTCCCTGCTCTGGGGTCTTGCATAATTCCTCTTTATGTCTGAAATATGACTTTGAGCCTCTAGTGGCCAACACAGCAAGGGATTCATAGTCATTTAGATGAGTTACATAAAAAAAAAAATCTAGTGATAAGGAGAATGGGACCCTGCCTATTCATAGAAATGTTTCTAATGGCTACTTCTAAAGAAAATGCCATGGTTTGGTCAGCATCTCATTCTTTCCGTTGAACATGGCAGGAGCTTCATGGGCACTGCTATGTTACAGTTTAGTGCAGGGAGTGATGCTGAAGTGTGGGTCTACAAAGGCCAGTCTGATGGAGAGGATTGTGAGGGCTCTGTCAGTCTATCTTTTGTTGCTACCATTAACTACACAAGGCTGGAAGCTTTAAAATGAACATAGCTTATATATTATCCAGGAGTATGAGGCCATCATCTACTTAACTCTGGGTGGCCTCCTTGATAGAGGTCATACCACAGTGATGACATCACCTTCATGGTGGGGGTGTGAGATGTGAGGGGGAGATCACATGGCAAGAGTGGGACTGGACTGGTTGTTTGTTTGTTTGTTTTTTCCAGCATAACCCACTCTACTGATCAGCATGGGAGTTTTGACCTGGGCCAGTTCAGCCCTCATTAGGCAACCTGGTGGCCCCCACTCCCCAGAGGTCACCGTATTGATGCCAAACTTAGTGTGAACACCTGATTGGTATAGCACACTACAGCCCAGGACTCCCTCCTGTCTCAGCCTCCAGAAAGCTGAGACTACACGCCCAGGCTTGAGCTACCACGCCCAGGGTAACTGATTCTAGTGAGAACTGACTTTTTCCTCATGAGATCAGCTTAAATCCCTCCCTGGCAGAACATACATATCCCACCACCCTACCTGGCAGTAAGCCCCTCTCTTACGGCCCCTCCACCTCCTAATGCTACTGCTGGAGACCAGACTTGCACTTGTGCACATTGGAGGCTACACCTCATCCCAACAACAGCAGCAGAGGGTTAATGTGTTTATCGTTCTCCTTTGAACTGTCCCCAAAGCACTCAGTTTCCTGGTTCAGGAGACAGGACATGGACAGGACTTTGCACACTGTCTTTGCTGCTGGCTCTCTCTCATCCTTAGTGTTGCTCATTGGCTGGAGTTTTTGAGGAAAAGGCCTGGCTGCTAAGTGCAGGAGATGGATGAGATGGTCCTACTTAAGTGTGTGCAAGTTGCCTTCTCTGAGTACTGTGTAGGGAGCTCGCCATGTGACTCTTGCCTTCAGGAAGCCCCCTGTCTAGAAAGAAATGGGGATACATGAACATGCCACCAGGACCAGACTACGTCCTTTCAGAATCCAAGTCAAAGGGACCTAGACACAGGAAAATTAACTTCTTATTATAGTGTTCTGGACAGAAGAGGAGAGTCGATCGTCCTGCCCCGGGCTTCAGATACTCATGGTCTTCATTGTTCTCTTTGTGAAATTTCTTTTTTTTAAAATAGGTTTGAAAGTCATTTAGCCCTCAGGGACCTATAATTCCCAGCACAAACCGCCACTTACATTACTTTACTTGAGTTAGACTATTCTGCTTCTGTCTGAGGAGGCAGTAGTTTATGGGAGAACAGAGTTTGAAATTCTATGTCATTACACAGCAAACCCATCCTTAGTCAGTTAGGGTTGAAGTGCCCGGTGGAACAGAGAGTGAAAGCAGCCATTAGGAGTGTCTTGGCGGGAGTTTATTGATATGACTCAGCTCCGAGCGGGGCTCTTCAGCAGCGGTCTGCCTGCATTGTGCCCAGTTCCTAATGGCGTCACGGCTCCCAGCACCCTGCCCACACCATTATTTAACAAAGTAGGCCACATAATGTCGGAAGCAGCAAAGACTGCATGCTGTGTTTATTTGACAGGGCCTTTTCTACAGTAATTCTTTTTTGGGGGGGGGGCAAGGCAAGGAAGGGGCCGGGTCTCACTATGTAGCCCTGACTGGCATTTTACATATACCTTTTGGCCTGTCATATGACTGGCATTTTACATGCATCTGTTGACCTGTCATGTGTGCCCTGTCCTGTGAAATACCTGTGATGTGGTTTTGTTTTGTTTTTTTTGTTTTGTTTTTTTTTTTTTTTAAGACAGAAAGGAAGGGGTCTGGAGAAAATGGCTACTCAGTGGCCAAGTGCACATTTGTACTCTTGCAGAGAAACCAGGGTTCAGTCCCCAGCACCCACACAGTGACTCACAACCACCTGTTACTCTAGTTTCAGGGTATCTGACACCTTCCGATTTCATGCGTGTGCCACACAGACTAACATGTAGGCAACCCATTCATACCCATTTATATTCATAAAATGACATTTAAAAAACCAGAAACATTCATTTTGCTCATTTGCAAACATACTTCTATCCTTATATTTGATTTCACAATATGGTTTTGGCGGCAGAGCGGCACTGCTTGTGTTGTATTTTACTGGTCCTTCGGTGTTTCCCCAAGGGCATGCTTGTAACTACATCTCTGTTTGTCCTCCTGACTTGCTCTTTTAGGATGTGCATTAATTGTTGAGTCTAGGGGTGTGAATGGTTTTAGATTTTCCATTCATGTCGATAAAGTGCCCTCTGTGAAGCTCATCACACCAGCCAGCAATAGGTGAAGCCATCACGTGCCTTGTGAAGACTCTTTTCCACACGCATTGCTGGTAATTCGAATGGCCCGTTGTCTCTATTCTTCTCTTTGTCTGCTTAAGTGTCCATGTTGGCAGTCGAAGAGTATGAGGAGCTGCAGGTGAACCTGGAACTGGAGAAAGACCTTCGTAAGAAAGCAGAGTCATTTGCACAAGAGGTGGGTAGGCTGCCGAAACTGGGCGACTTTACAGAACACCTGTGGGAGAAACAATCTGGGTCAGGCAGATGAGAAGGGCAGTAAGCCCCAGCTTTCATGGCATCATAGGTTTGCAGTAGTTATTTGTAGTTTGTTAGGACCTAGAAAAGAGCCTTTTGACGCGTCCCCCAACAGATGACCAATGTTTAAGGAGATGGGGATGTGGCGCCTTAGATCTAAGTATTAAAGCTTATATGCATACGTCAGATTTTCCTGGTGTACCCCATAAGTATTTACAATCATCATGTGTCAACTGAAAATTTTAGAAAATGTTTGAGTAGAAGTTAGCGATTCTAAGTGAAGCACCCCCAACTAGATGGGAGATGCGTCGTAGTGTTAGGTTTTCTGAAGTTAGAGGACAAGACATAGGTTGAGAGTCTGCCATGTCCACCACTGCACACAACTCAGAGCTGTCCTCATCCTCCTATGGCTGCACTACATCTTTAAAACAGATGTCTGTGTAGATGGAATCGGGGGTTTTAGAATGCAATGGAATGTGTTTGAGTGCATGCACGCAGGGGAGTATAGAGGGTGGAACCAATGTCACTACCCACTTTGGTTTTTGAGGCAGGATCTCTGACTAGCCTAGGGATTGCTCATATGGTATGCCAGCTGACCAACGGGTCCCAGGAACCCACTTGTCTCTGCTTTTCCAGCACTGGGGTTATGAGCATGCACCACCATTGTGCCCATTTTTTTTTTTTCCATGGGTTCTGGGGAATTGAACTCAGTTCTTCATATTTGCACAGTAAACACTTTACAAACTGAGGTATCCCCCACCCCCAGCCAAAACAGAGTAATGTTTAAAAGCATTGCATAGGCAGTAGAGTGCTGTGCAGGGAAAAGAATTTCCCCAGAGAGACCTATAACGTGGTGACTGGCTAGCTTGTGCAGAGTGTCTATACGTTTCAGATAGCCTTGAGAATCTGGGCTGTGTCTCAGTGTCATCTCAGATGACAGTGTCACAGGATCTGCCTTTCTCTTCTGGCCATCATCTGGTGCTCTCATTATGTGAGTTGATTCTTTCATCGCTAATGGAACGTTGCCATGTTGTACACCCATTATCTCAGCCACTCACCGGCATAATGATTTCCCTCTCGGGTTAGAGATAAGCTTTGAGCTTCTCTGGTTCCACCTGACCTTGTTGGCATTCGAGCATTGGGTATTCCATGGTTCTGGAGCTGGTTTCCAGGGTAATGATCTGCCACCAGGTAGCTAAACTCAAACACTGAGCTTCATTCGGCAAGGTCTCCACCTCTGATGGAATTTCCAGCCTCAGTGTAAAGAGCCTTGTATTGAGGCAGGTGCTAAGGAACTGAACATGGTCCCAGGAAGAGGTATCCAAGATGGAGAAAGAAGACAGGATGTCCCAAGAAAGACATTTGAAAATCAGATTATGCTTCTATGTAGGATTTTTTTTTTAAAACTTTGTTTTGTTTCATGTTTTTGTGCTTAAGCACAGCCAGGCTAACATTGACCTCCATGGAAGGTTTAATCCAGGTTAGCTGATTTGAAATGTTGTGATTAATTTTATTCAGAGAGTTTGATAAATGCTAGATGAATTTTATTCTCCGTTGACCTGTGAGAAAGAAAAAAAGAACTGAAGTGTGTCAGAGCCCTGTAGAACAAAAGCTGTGCAGTTACAGATGAGGAAGGCAAATTGACAGAAGGGAAGAGCAGGTAGGGGCAACAGGGAGAGCTGAGCTGTGAAGGTGAGCGTTAACTGAGTGTGACCCAGACGGCAGAGTCCTGCCGACATTTTCATGCTTTCACGTGCTCTCTGTGCATTAATGTTAGAGTACAGCGCAGCTCAAAGAAAAACCTGGGAGGCTTCACAGTGGCAGAGAAGACAGGAGAAGAGATATTCTAGTAGGAAAACGTGCAAGTGACTGGTTCCTCATGTTCACCGATGGGCCTGGAGCCCAAACAATGTGGGCACAGAATAGGCACCGTGCTAAGCAAGCTCAAGGAGGAGAAGCAGGCCCAGGAGGCTTCCGTGGCTAGGCATCTCGAGACACACGTGTGCACATAGGCGTAACTGTGCTTGGTGCCCAGATTTAAACTATGGTGGCAAGAATGGTATCTCGAGCTTTTGAGGAAGGAGACTTGTTTCTAAGGAAGCCTCACTGCTGCATGTTGTTCTAGGGGAGGTGCCCAGCACCAGATTGGTACTGTAGACAGTTGCAGGGGAAGAAAATGAGGGGCTTACTGTTTGCAGTCTTAGAAATCAACATCCAAGTTTGCTTGCTTTATGTATTTCATTGCGACAGAAATTTGTGGGCTTAAAAAAAAATACGACTTCAGAAATATGTCAATCAGAAACTGAGAAGTTCCCTTGCTCTTACTCATGCTAGTTTGTTTAAAACAGAACAAAGCTTGCTGCTACTTAACAAGAGGAGTCTGGTGTCTCCAGAACTGTTTTTTAAAGTTTTCATCTACGTATTAAATTTTTAAAAATACTACTTACTTATGGTGTATGTATATGGTGTGTGTGTGTGTGTGTGTGTGTGTGTGTGTGTGTGTTCTTTCCTTCCACCTTCATGGGTTCCAGGGATAGAGCACGGGTCTTCAGGCTTATGCAGCAAGAGCCATCTTGCCAACTATATTTTAAAGTTTTAATGTGATTTTACTTATATTTTTCAGTGTATTTTTCTTGCTACTCAGTTTCCCTTCTGGATAATTTGAACAATAATGGAATATTGCTTTAAATTCTGTATTAAGATTTTTATTCTCACTCTCATTGAAAAGACGTATGGGATTTCTCAGAAATTCCGATACCTGTGGTCTTCTTCCTCCAGTAAGAGACCAGCTTTCTGACTCTGAGTCATTCCTGTCACAACAAAACCAAAACTCATTATGTTTGGTGACTAAATGTTCTAGAAGAGGACACACTTAAAGAATTTTGATGAAGTTTGGGGGAGGCAGTATGACTACTCCCTCCACCCGCAAATCCCTCTGTGTGCATAGTCCCCTGTAGCCCAGACTGTTTTCAGAGTCGATGTTTAGCCAAAGATAACCTTGAATTCCCGCTCTTTCTGTCTCTGTCTTCCCGAGTCCTGGGATTGAAGGCATGTAATTACACAGGTTTTTGTGATGCTGCTGGTTGAACCCAGCCAGGGTGAGGGGAAGCTAGACAAGCACTCTACTAACTGGGCTGCTACTGTTTCAGACATGTCATGGGGGTTCTGAGAAAGAAAGTCACACGATGAAGACCTTTCAGATGAAGTGTTTATGCTTGTTTGTCTTCAAAGTGCTGCAGTTGAGGTACTTTGTACTCATGCAGTGTTGAGCACATTTTCCAGAATGTTTTCCAGAATTTCCTCTTCCTCAAGAGAAGCAAATCCCAGAGAATTCCAGAGAGAGGATGGAGTGGGCCACCCCACTTGATTTCCCTGCTCTGTGGCTATAGCTGTTGCACCAGCTCTTTGCCAGGAACACATGCAATAAAAGAAACTTGGAACTTTGCTTCAGCTGCGGTTAGCACCCTTTACAGTGACGGTGCTTGAAGCACTAAGATGCTGGCAAGGGAGCCTGTCTGGTTAAGTTTTAATAGAGGAAAAAATGTGTTGAAATTATTGTAATAATAATGATAACCAAGATAATTCATTTCAACTAAACACTGCTCAAAAATTTAAGACACCAGTGAATCATTGATTACCCCTGTTGGTTGGACTCTGAGTCTCGGGGTAGAATGACTCTCCTTATGCACATTGTGTGGGAGGGGGGTCTCTGTGCCCATAAATGCTTACAGACAGATGACACTGAAGAAGTGTGGGTTCCATGTACTACGAAAAATTATGTTTCATTCTTTCAGCTCTTCCAGAGGAGTTGAGTTCAATTCCCAGCACCCGCATCAGATGCCTCACAACTACCAGTGACTTGAGCTCCAGGGAAATCTGTCACCCTTTTAGGGCTTCAGGTACCCCCATACACACATACAGGCACACATTGAGACACACGTGTGCACATAAATAATAAGACATCTTTAAAAAATAGTGTGTTCTACCTGTTGGAGCTGATAGTGTGTCTTAATTTTGCACAACCTTGTAGTATCCTGCTTGGTAGACTTTTCACAAATCCTGCACAGGAGAAGAATGGA